TATTGGGTCAAACGATCAACTCGCAGATGTATTGACTAAGTCATTAAGGGGTCCTCGGATTGAGTTTATTTGTTCCAAGCTTGGTACATACAATTTGTATGCTCCAGCTTGAGGGGGAGTGTTAGGATATTTATCCTATTTTATCATCATTATAGTGTGTCAAGGGTTACCCTATTTATCATGATTATATTGTGTCTAGGATTACCCTATTTATCATGATTATAGTGTGTCTAGGGTTACCCTATTTATCATGTATTTGTGTATCAATTTATTCTTATAAATAGAAGATTGTGAGAGGGATCAATTAAGCCCTCAAGAATTATTTCTTTTCAATCTTAAGTATTTCATTAGTATATTTCCATTTCTGAAGTCATGACACTAGTAATTTATATGACATTCTGATAGGAACTGAATTTACTACGAAATTGATGGGGAAAATTATAGAGAATAGTGATCAGAATACTTGGAGTATATATGAGAAAAAGAGCTTCAGACTAGATCTCTCTACTGATTTACTGATTTAGATTCATATGTGTGTGTGTAAGGACCACTGGCTTACAACCAAAGCTCAAGAAAAGAAAGAAAAATACAATAGAGTTTACCATTTTAGGTTACAGATGAATACAACACAAAACAACTATTCTATCAAGGATACAAAAGGAAAATGTGATAGGTTTGGAATTGGTTATAAGAGGAGGGAAAAGAGGTATAACTGAATATGACAGTTATAACCTCATGTAAATGTTTCTTTTTTTTCATATAAACTGGCTATTATAAGTAGTCACTGTGGTGGGAGGGAAACGAGGTTGTTGATATTTCCTAGGAAGTAATAGGTTGTGGGAGTTTGAGGACAACTCGAAAGTCCTTCTGTGTTGATGTTTTACTGTCTTGTACCATATTGGTAGAAACAGTGCTTGTTTCAATAAGAACCTACCAAGAACGTGTCTTGTTTGTTCTATAATATTGGTTGAATCTATCAATTGGTATCTAGAGTTGGTTCTGTGGGGGACACAAAATAGGGTATGGTGCGTACGAGAATGGAGTCACGCATGGATAATGTGGAAAAGATGATGCAAGAAATGGTTCAAGATCAAATGAATATCATGGGAGGTTTCAATGCTGGGAAGATTTGAGTCGTGGGCTAACTGTGGTGGTGGAGCAAATGTCAGCAGCAAGGAATACGTCTGACGATAATTCTGGCATTAGCAAAAGCAATGGTGGGAGAAGAGAGCGTGATCAGGGGGAAACAGCGTCTTCCTCAAGATGGAGGAAATTAAACATTACTGATTTTGCCGGAGAGGAGGCTTATGGGTTCGATTAAAGGTGTGATTGAGGAAGAGAGGATGCAGGCTGTCTTGATTGCTTTGGAAGGTAAAGCTTTGAATTGGTTTCAATGGTGAGAGACTTGCAACCCCAATCCTACGTGGGATACCTTCCAGATTGCAGTTGTACGCAGATTTCAACCAACAATGCTAAACAATCCTTTTGAAGTTTTAATTGGATTAAGGCAAACAAGTCTTGTGGAGGAATACATTGAACAATTTGAACAATATGCAAGAGGGTTCTTGGAGGGGATGGAGCAACCTTATTTGATAGGATTCTTCTTGAATGGTTTAAAAGATGATATAAAGGTTGAGGTCGAACTGTATGAACCCAGCAATCTTGCTGAATTAATGTCTAAAGCTCAAAGGGTGGAGGATAAAATTAGAAATACTTCCAAAGGAGGAACCCAAGGTATTAGCCAAAACGGTGCTGGATACAAACAGTATTCAGTCACTTGAAGTTTCACCAGAGAAGGAGGAAATTCTCTACCTGCTAGTACTGCCAGCAAAGGAAAGGGGGAGGGCAGTGAGGTGTTGAGTTCTATGAGCAGCAATTCTGGAGGCTAGAGACAAAGAGGAGCTCCTTTCAGAAAATTATCTGAGGAAGAAGGGCAAGACCAGTTAAAGAAAGGGCTTTGTTTAAGGTGTGATGAGAAGTTTGGGCCTAATCATGTGTGCCGCAACAAACAACTGCACATGTTACTATTGTCAGAAGAGGAATTGTCCGGGTTGGGGAATTCCAGCACCAGAAGGGTACAAAAGAAGAAGTTTTGGAGGAAACAGGGTATGTTTTCCAATTATCTCCATGTACAATGGCAAGAAGTCTTGGAAACTTTTGGGGAAAATTGGAGATGAGTTGGTGGTTGTTTTATTGGATTGTGGAGCTTCCCACTACTTCATTTCAAATTATTTGATTGGCAGATGTGGTTTACAAAATTTGGAAACTCCCACTTGTGTTGTGGAAGTCGAGGATGGCCGAAGGGTTCATTGTCATGGGAAATGTGATGATTTCATTTTGGGAATCCAGGGCTTGAAGATTCAGCAAGAATTCTTCATTTTTGAGATATGAGGAGTGTATATTATGCTTGCTGGGAGTAGAATGGATAGCCAGTTTGGGGGAGGTTAAGGTGGATTTTGGAAAATTAAAACTTACCGTTGGTGGAGGGGCTGATCAACTTATGGTGATGGGAGATCCTGCTTTATCTACCACTGCAACCTCATTTTAAAAATTGATAAATGAGTTGCAGGAAGGGGATCAAGGATTCTTGGGTGATTGGGTTTAAGATAAGGTGATTGACAGCTCCAATGCAGATTTAAGAGAAGTGGAGCAGCTCTTAGCATCCTATGGGGAGGTTTTTCAAGAATTACCTCTCAGTCGACAACAAGATCATGCTATTCATCTCAATGATGGAGCTTCCATCCCAAACCTTAGACCTTATAAGTATTCACACTAACTGTTCTGGCAGTAGCAACATATCCTGCATGCTTGTGCCAGTGATGTCAGTGAGCTGATCTGAATTGTCCAAATTCGTTGTTTTATAACCATTGTGGGGCACTGCTACCCCTGCTGGACCCTTGTGCCACCTCTCTTTCACCCAGATGTAACGGCATTGTCTCCCCATCATGGTACCCTTAGGGTGGTTTTTTGTGCACACAAAAGGTTAATTCTTTATATCCAAATGAATCCTATGATTTCTGCCTCTCTACCTCCTTTCCTAGTCCATTGAACTATTCCCCTTCTCGTTATTAATCCAGCAGTATATTGGTTGATTCATTTAAGGTTCTTTCTCTGGATGAACCTCTACATCTCTGATTTCCAACCTAATCTCCTCCTATGTTCTCCTCAACATGCTTCGTCAAATGGGGATGAACCTCTTCACAAACAAGTTCCTGATGTATAACTCCATCCTCCAACTTGATGCCTTGTTTTCTTATCCACGTCTCAGTCAGTTGCTTGATATCTTGTGTTTTATTTCCAATACGTGACCCATGTGTGTTGGCCATCTCCATCAGGAATTTCTACTAAATGCTCCAGCTTTTCCAGTTGTGATTCTGTCTACCCCAATCTTGGCTTGGCAGGTCAGACTAGAGCTTTTGGAATCCAGAAGAACCTATAAATGAATTCTGGATTTCGGATAGTCACATAGAAAAAGGAAAAAACAGAGAAAGCAAGGGAAATAATATTTTTGTAGTGTATATTCACTATTGAATTGAATTACCAAGAACAAAAGAAAGAATTCTCCTTTCATGAGTTCTCTTTTCTACATAGCTGGTGCTCAGTTCCCAAATGATAACTAGTCAGAGTACGCCCTTCTGCCATCCTCTACGTCTTTTGCGAAGTGCCAAGTTTTGCTCATGACAAGATTCCTCTACTGCTGTCTCAATGACAAGCTTCCAAATAAGTTAGTGTTATATTGTATATTTGTAAAAGGCTTAGTTACTTTTGGTTGTACCAATGTCATTTGCAAAACGGCCAAGTTTTGTTCATGCTGAAATTTCTCTACTACTGTTTCGATGACAGGCTTCCAATTAAGTTAGTGATGTACTAGATATCTATAAATGGTTTGAAGTTGTTTGATATTGATTTTGAGCTAGGCTATATTAGATGTCAAATACACAACTTGTGATTTATCAAGTAATATCTTTTTTTTGAAGGCTTATTTACTTCTTTATTCCTCCTTTTCCATCCGTAAGTACCTTTTGCTCCATAATGTAGCAATACCACCACATACACAACATGTTGGAACGCTCGAAAAGTTTAACTTTTTGCCAAAATTGATAATGATTATATGGCAAAAAGGTGTTTGTTGTCTCATAATCCCATGCTTTTGTTCCTGTCCTAAAGAAATTAATTTTGTAGGTATCACTCCCTATGTTCATATAATGGTGATGATGACATGTTCAGTTCTGACCTGAGTGAAGACCAGTTGAAGATGAGGCTGGGGCATATGTCTAACACACATTGTCAGGTGACCATATATCTGTTTAACGTAACTTTTTATTCTCTTTTTCTGAACATCTTTCTGGGCTGATTTTGAGAATTGATAGAGAGAAAATAGAGAGGAAATGGAAATAAATTTTGTTGATTGAATGTCATTTCCACTGAATACAGATTCCAATTTATAGGCTTCAGAGGCAGTTTAAAATCCCTAACTGACTTAGTTTACTCAAGAAATTTATGATGAGTGTAGTTGTGGTAACTTACACCAAGCTAACCAATCATTTGCTATGCTGAGGGTTATGCTTCACTACGTTAAAATCAGAAGTTTACTTGCTACTTTTTTTCATCCAAACTAAGTTTATTCAACTAATTTATGATAGAATACAGTTGTGGTAACTGATACCTTGCTGATCAATTGCTATACAGTTTTATGCTTCAATATGTTGGTCATAATAGCAGAAGTTTTCTTGCTTTTTCGTTTCTGTAGGTGTATGACATTTTTCGTTTAAAATGTAATTTGTCACCTTAAGAAGGCATATATAGTAAAAAAAGCTAAAATGCTACTCTGGCTCAGTGATTGGGAAGCTGTGTAGAGGTTATAGCTAAGTTTATATCATGCGAGAGTCTAGTGCTCCCAATTACCGAAAAAAGAAGGCTTAAATTTTTTTGGTTGTCAAATTATGAACTGTAGCTCTCAATATTAGCCTTAGCCTGAATGATGTCAAGCAGCAAGCAATAGTGTCGATGATGTTACTTTTATATATCTGCCACCGTTTTCTACCATACAATTTAAGTGCAACTGGTAAATGTGATAAATGTCATTCTATTAGAGACGAAGATATAAAACCTGAGATCTGCCTATAATTCTTGAAAGGGAAGTTTTTTTTTTTTTTTTTTTTTGAGGAGGAAGTTTGTCATTATGGATGCCTTGGGTTTCTGGCAGGTTATATTTTCAATGAGTGACGAATATGTGCCAGATTACGTTGATAAGAAAGCTCTTGTTGAGCGGTAAAACCTCTACTCCTATCTGGTGTCAGTTTTTGTTATTCAATAATTAAGTGCAATTTGAAAGGATTGAGATATATGATTGCCGATCCTATGATCACGGGGTACATTTTGTATCCATGTAGGTTATGCAGAGCGATGGGAGGAGCAGAGAAAGTAGAGATCGAATATGGAAATCACTCCCTCTCTAACAGAGTTGAAGAAGCTGTTGATGCTATTATTGATTTCTTAAAAAGAGAGGGACCCAAAGGCTGGGATGATCCATGGAGTTAATTGGATGTCTCTATCAATTTTCAATGCCCCCCTTTTTTTTTATTATTATGATAGTTTTGATTTCCTTCTGTCAATCTTTTTTTTTCTCCCATATATATTTTTTTGGGGTGGAGGGTTTGAATTTGTTGGGGTAGCTATTTGCAGCCTTAGTTTTTTGTTGATATAACAAATGTTAATATTTATAATCTCAGAAGAGAAGTGGTATATCTGTTTTTTCAATTTATTATTTTATACCTAGGGAACATTTTTCTACAGTTGTAGGCAATTCTGATGTTTCCACATGCAACGGCAGGTAAGAGCCTGTCAGGATTTGCTCTAAGGTGTGTACACATGTAGTGGAATAGAAACCCGTGTTATATTTAGTTGCTAGTATTCGTGCAAAAATAATTTCCGAACTACAAGATCGACATGAAAATTAATCATCTTTTTCTATGAAAATATATAATTAAGTTCGCATTGTTAATTCTTTACATAGTCAGATTCTGTCAATGTTAATAGTGGTAATATGGTCAGTTACCATGGTTCCTTTGCTTCCATTGTTTATTCGTCACATACCGCTAAATTGGAGATTACAGTAATGTGAAGTCTATTCTAAAGTAAGATTAGTTACCTTGAGTATCCACAAATCAAAATGATTTTTGGTGGTTGGTGATGGTTTGGTGAAGTTGGTAACAACTGAGCAGCTGGCCAAAATTTTCTTTCATTGAGGCTATTATTTTTGGTCAACATTCACCCTTTTAAGAAGAGCTGCTGTAATATCATTGTATAATGTCCCATTTTATCACCTCATTTGGTTCCCATACGCCCCATGACCACAGCTTCTTACACTGGCAACCGTGAGATAATGTTCTCTATTCTTCAGGTTTATTTGAATTTAATTACGAAATTAATTAAATTATGTTTCTGTAATTCATGTTATATTTTACCTGAATTGGTGTATCATGCGTGTGTCCCCATATATCTTACCCTGTTATATATATTCAATCAAACTGAGATAAAATTTTCCTTTTACCCTGAGTTTCGGTTCCAACAGGTGTCGGTGCGATTACAAACTGTCTTTAAGTGCGCTTTATTCCCAACGGCATTATTTTTTTTTTCTAATTTTTTTAATAATTTGTAATATATATATATATATATATATATATATATATATATATATATATATATTATTGTTAGAATACATGTTTTCAAAATCAATCAGTTAATTAAGAATCAAAATATCCAACCATAAATAATAAATTTATTCATTTTATAATATAAAATGTATGAAATCTAAATTCTATTTTTTTTGTTGAACTATAAATTTTAATATTTGACACAAAATTTGAAAATTTCATTCTATAACAGAAACTAAAATTATTATATATAATGAATTTATTCATTTTTATTATAAAAACTTACTAAAAAATAAATTAATAAGATAAAATAGATTAAGTATTTATCAAAGTTTAATTAATTTGTGTATTTTAATTTTTAGTTGATCAAGCCTGTTCAAAAAGGAGGGCCATAAGTTGATTATTATTTTTTTTACTTAGGAGAAATATCTAATTTATTTTATTAACTTTTAATAAACACTTGTGAAAATATTTTATTTAAATATCATAGTGAGAAATAATTCCTTATTAGTTGGCTAAAACACAACTTCAACTTTATAATTGGCATGTCTGTTAAGACTAAATATTTCTTTTACAAAAAAACAATCTTGTCTATTTTACTGCTTCTGTATAAATTTATAAAATAAAATTTCTACAATTATGTATTAAAATAATTTATCCAATTAATTAGAAATAAATTGATTATAACCCAATTATTATTTTGTTTATAATTCGCATCACAAAAGTAATACTGTCTGGGTCGCAATTAATGTAAATTTTAACATTATCCATATAGATTAAGGAAAACAATAGATATACAATTTTTAATATAATTTACTAAAATAACCTCATATATTAAATAAAAATTTAAATAAGTATAGCGATTGAATAATTATCATATTAATCTATGTAAGGACGGTTTAAAAATTAAAAGGTAATATATTTTGAAAGAAAATGTAAAGGCTGGAATTACAAATAATACAAGACCATATAATATAGTAAAATATAAGAATAGCCCTTTAAAATTAATTAAGAAGGTGGAAATTTTGCATCAAATCTCGATATTAAGTAGAATAATTGGTAGTAAGATATGGTTGAATAATACTCTTTCTTAATGACTTTATAACTTATCTACCTACAAAACTTTTATTAATCACTCACAAATAATCTACTTAAAACTTCATTAGCAATATTTGTTATTAAAATAAACATACATACAAACTAGTGAGTAATTTTTTTATGACCAAATTACAAACAGAACTTCAATTAACTACCATAAATATCCCACACTTCCACAATAAAAGATTAAGAGTTTGTCTCATTAGTAATTAGAATATTTAAATTAACTTCGTCCTTTAATCACATGACTGTCAGAGTAATTAATATTAATAATAATAACAAAAGAGAGCAAAAGACAGCTTTGATTAGAACTGGAAACAGGAGAAAGGGGAAAAAAAATCCAGCTTTATAACAAAGCAAATGAAAATTTAGAAAAATGTAATTAAAAAATATGTAAAGTTGATGATTAAACTGAGCTTGACATCTTCTTTGGACATACATGTCCATGTCTGAAATCTGTCATGTTAGTTTCATGAAGCACAGTGAGAAAAACCTTCCTTTTCCTCCGGAACTCACACCGACTCATCTCATATCCGGCAACTCTATTCTTACAGAACAACACATTACATTGAAACTTGGAAACATGCCTTGTAACTTGTGAGCATCTCCAAAATTTGTTTTTCCATTTTTTTTCACTCATCAAGATTTGTTTCTTTTTGTTTCCTCGGGAAAATCGACACTTGTGCTTTTAAGACACTCTTGTGGTTTGGCGTGTTGTCGTAAAAAGATAGCAACTTTTGCGGTATTGGAGGGTGGATTTGTTGGCAGCTGTTCTGGGGTGATGCCATGGCAGAGAAGGTTGTGATTTCACCCCAATGGGCTCTGTGGACCATTCCAATGCTTCATTGGCGTGTTGGGTTGCTCACTGCTTTGGTTTTGCTTGGAATGGTTGTGGTTTGGAGCATTGATGGGTGCACAGTAAGGAGCATCTTTCAAGCTTGGAGGTATCAACAGGACTATCTTGCCGTAAGGTTTCATTCTCCTAATTTAACTGTCGTCTCTCCATACAATGCTGTGAACTTCACTCCGTATGAAAAGTTAGGCGAAAAATCCCTTCTACTTGAGGGGCACACTAGTTGGATTTCAAGTGAGTTAGAACCCAACTTTACTTCAAATCTCATAGCCAGATGGTCAGCTCGTGGAGGCTTACCCTGTAAAGATTCCAAGGCTGTGGAGATTTCAATTCCTGGGTTGGATGGTGGGGAGGTGATAGAGCTTTCAGCTGGTGATGTGCATGAATTTGGTTTTCAAGCACTGGATGATTCAGGGAAGCCTCGTTGTTTAGGTGGGGACTACTTTGAGGCTGATCTTTCAGGGGAATCATGGAAATCTAGGCCTTTGGTGAAAGATTTCAGCAATGGTTCTTACTCAATCTTACTGCAGGTTCATCCCGATTTTGATGGGGTTTACAATCTCACCATAATTTTGCTCTATAGACACTTTGAAGGTCTGAAGTTTACCCCATGGAGGTTTTCTTATGACCGAATGCTACGAAATTTTGCAATCAGATTCTACAAAAGCAGTGTTCAGCTACCGGAACTGCAGTCTTGCAAGGCCTCTGATTTTAGCAGGGATGTGTGGAGTGGAAGGTGGACAAGGTATGGAAAGAATGATGAATGCACCATAGGAAATGATGGCAGGTACCGGTGCCTTGGGTCGGATTTTCCTTGCAAAGCTCCTTGGTGTGACGGTTCCTTGGGAATTTTGGAGAGTAATGGGTGGGTGTATTCAACTCATTGTTCATTCAAGTTGTATTCAGCAGAGTCTGCTTGGAATTGCTTGAAGAACAGATGGATTTTCTTTTGGGGCGATTCAAATCACGTTGACACAATAAGGAATATGCTCAACTTCGTGTTGGACTTGCCTGAAATACGTTCTGTTCCCAGAAGATTTGACTGGAACTTTTCCAACCCAAAAGACCCCTCTCAAACAGTCAGGATCACAAGCATCTTCAATGGGCATTGGAACGAAACACAAAACTATCTGGGGTTGGATTCTCTGAGAGATGAAGGATTTCAAGATTTGATAAAGAAATACTTCTCAGAAGATAGTATTCCTGACACTGTGATCATGAACTCAGGCTTGCACGATGGCGTCCACTGGCGCAACATAAGAGCATTCTCTGTTGGAGCAGATTATGCAGCATCCTTTTGGAGAGATATTATGAAGGGAGTGAAGCAAAGAGGGTTAGCATGGGGAAGAGTGTTTTACAGGACTACAGTAGCAACTGGTGGATATGCAAGGTCACTAGCTTTCAATCCTAACAAGATGGAGGCGTTCAATGGTGTGTTGTTGGAGAAATTGAAGCAATCAGGAGTTGTATCTGGTGTGATTGATAACTTTGATATGACATTTCCATGGCATTTTGATAACCGCTGTAACGATGGAGTACACTATGGAAGAGCTCCAGCAAAGATGAAGTGGAGAGATGGCCAAATTGGACATCAATATTTTGTGGACCTTATGTTATCTCATGTTCTTCTCAATGCCCTATGTGCCAGATAGCATCTCAACCAAACCCTTTTGCTGGGTTTAAAACTATTAAGATTGGGATATTGTTGTTTCTATCTAGTTAGATTTCGTATTCTTTCTTGCTCGTATATTTTTGTTTTTGTTATGTATACTTGAGATTTTTCCACTTGTAGATTAGCAGAAGATTTCATTAACTCCTCAAAATGCATTTTACCATCTATATGATCAATAGTATCATTCAAAGATTGTTCTTTATTTTGAATATCTCTTCTTTATATGGTTGTGGTTAGTTATTTAGTTATATTATATGAAAGAGATGAGTTTCATAATTATGGCTTCTTGTTGGCAGATGATAGTTGCAATTCATTATTGCAGCTGACTTATACCAAACTTCTTAATACAGCACTAATATATCTCTAACACATGCACCTCTTTCGCTTTTACTCTGGCATGGTTTTCTGCAACTCTTCTTCTTTTTTCCTTGTTTGACGGTCATGGAATAGCAATGGTAGGGAAGATAGAGTTAGTTTGAGTTGTTTGATACCAGAGAAAGAGAGTAAAAAAGTTATGGAACTTTGCATACTAAAACATTTTTTTACAATAGTTGAATGGGTCATAGTTAATTTGTAAAAAAAAAAAGTGATAATTAAATACAATATATTAGATAATGTTAAAAATATTGAAATAATCTTGATTTTGTATCATAACATATAATTTTACTGATATATGTCTCAACTCACAATATGTAATGTTTAAAATTATATATGAAACTAAATTGAATTTCATAATACTTATATTCTATAACACAATATAGAATTAGAAATAACGAAAAATAATTGACAATTACGAGAAAATATTGATTAGCTGAATACAAAGATTACACGGTAGATAATTTATTTAAACTTAATATTACTTGCCGTGGTCCAGTAGATTATTTATGATATTTGTATAGAATTTGTAAACATATCTTTTTTCAAATTTAACTCGAAATTGTTCTGATTTTTGAATTATGTTTTTTCCTGCCGCGACAATTAGAACCAGAAAAAATCTGGAAAGAAGAAGAAAGTTTCCTGTAAAACTCCAATTCAAGACCAGAGAATAAGACGAAGGACAACACTCTCTCTGCGGACAAACCAAACCGGAAAAGAGGAAGGAGAAAGGTATCTCCTTTTTCTAACCCACGACCTCCCTGAGAGAGAAACCCCTTTGTTTAACATTAAATGCAAGGAAGGAGATGGAAGGAGAGGAAGAGGAGAAAAAAATTGACTTAGTGTCAGAAAAAGAAAAAATGGCGTCAAATCCCTTAGCCAACTCATCTTAATTTTAACGCGTTAGTTTTAGAGGACGAAAAATTATAATTTCCTTAAGGACAAGAATAAAAATATACCAAAATTTAAAAAATAAACGAAAATAAAATCGCTTAATAGTTGAAAGACTAAAAACATATTTAACCCTATTTTTTAAAGTCTAAACATTATCGTGACATTACGTAATATATCTTCTTTTGTAAATAAAGTCTTTTAACACACATATATATATATATATATATATATAAATTATTCTTTAAAGAAATACTTCTAAAATAAATTAGCAACTCCGATCAAAAGTTATAAAAATATAATTAACGCAAATATCTATCATCATTGCATAGCATGGAGTTAAAATTATATCAGTGATTTAATTTAAAAGATAAAATTTTTTTCCATTGAAAGTGATTTAAATGGAATTTTATGACTTGTTTTACAATTGGACAAAGTGATTTAATAAGCAGCAGTGAAATGTAAGTGTGATTGTGATAACACTGGCACCAGTCCATTAATTATTGACTGTTAGCAGCTTCAATGATTGACCCTATTTATGGTCCATCTTCTTTCTGTTTCTGTCTTTTATCATGATTCTTACCTTAGCAAATTCACGTTTAAAGTAAATAGGATACAAACATACAAAGTAGTACATCACACAAAATTAACTTAAACTATAACTGTTGGGGAAATTGCAGGGAAAGTAGTCGATTAATACATACCATAGATATATTTGTATTGGTCTAACTAACCTATTTATAGATAATAAAATCATTTAACCAAAGATGGACAGATTAAAGTGTTGTTGACATGAGACACTCAATGAGTGAAACAAGAAAGAATTTCTTTTAATTAGGAGTTAACATTGATAATAGGCTTTTGTTACATAACTAATAAAAAAAAATTCTACCTTCCACCCCTCAATCTTAATTAAATATATAAAAATTTAAAGAAGTGAATTTTATATATAATTTAAATTTATAATATTTAATTCAATTTTGTAAAATTAACTTACATTTATAATATATTTATATGATATTAAAGTTATGGTTTAAATCCTCATTTGATCCTTATATTTGTGTGTCAATCTCAAGTGGGTCATCGTGTTTTTTTCGGTCTCAATCGGGTCCTTAAACTTGTTAAAATGAGTCAATTAAGTCATCTCCGTTAATTTATCAGTAACGCCGTTTGTCGGTGCTGAACTATAATTTGTTTTAGTTGACGAGGCATTGTTTATTAAATTTGATTGGTGTTGTGTTGTGTGAATAGATTGCCTTGTGTGATGTTGTTAGCCCTAAAACTTAATATTTAGAGAACCCTGATTTCGAAAGTGTTTAACATCTTCGTTTTCGTTAGGAAGAGTTCTGGAAAAAATGGCCTTTATGAAGCGTCCCTTGGAATCCATCTTCTCCTTCAACCTCTCATACAATTTTGCAACAAAGAAAACTTCAAGATACTAAACTTATATTATAAAGAGTATTTCCAGTACTCAACTAGATAAAAAGTATCAGTGAGGTAAGGCTCACCTATCTCTTTTAGGTTCTTTATACATAACATTTTTCTTATTCTTTTATGGACATAAACCACACAATATCTCAAAACTGACAATCAAAAACCAAGTTTTCCTGGTGTGAGAGTAATTTTATATGCCAAAAAACCAGGATTGAATGACCTCATATTCTGTTTTGAAACAACTTGAAGTAACTTGAAATTATTTGATCATGTGAGAAGTTTGTGTAGTATCTCATTTCCACTAAAATACCTTCTTCTCTTGCTAGGCTCTCAACTTCTTCTTGTACTCTTTCACCACCAACTTTATTTGGATCCAACAAATTACAGGATACCTCAATGACACCTTCACCATGTGCAAGTGCCATGGCCTGTACAGAGGGAAGTCCACCACCTCTTCCATTGACCCGTTTGACAATTCTCCGAACAACATTAATATCAGAAGACAATAGAGGGATATTGTAGTTATCAACCCAATTGGTGGCTCCAATGACATAACACTTTCAATTTCATTCCTCCACCACCACGTGACTGTCTTCGCCTTCGCAAATTCTTCCCAGCCCTAATTCTCACACTCACTCACCACAGCAAAATCCCTAACTCATGAAATCCCTAATTCCCATTTCAGTTTTTCTGTTTAACTTAAAAAAAACAATCAAAATCATTACTTCCCTCATTCCCTGCCAGGTATATAGTTTTCTTCATAAAACTATTATCGACGTATTTAAATAATTTAAAATCAGCTCATTATCTGTGCACCACGTAATCACATGCAAACGACATTACTAATAAATTAACGGAGAGGACTTAATTGGCTCATTTTAACAAGTTTAAGGACCCGATTGAGACAAAACAAAACACGATGACCCACTTGAGATTGACACACAAATATGAGGACCAAACGAGGGTTTAAACTTAAAGTTATATATTATAATTTATGAATTTGTTATAATTTACTATCCAATGGTTAATAAGTTATTATTGAACCGTTTGGTAGTATTTATGACAAATGTATTTTTTCCGTTAAAAAAATTATTAAAAGTTTATTATTAATTAAAAATATTTGATTTATAAAATTAAATCTGTTTCGGTAGGATTTGCAGTTTCTGACGTGGTTTTGTTGTTTTTCAATGCTTGAGTTGTGTGCAAAAGACACTCGCTCAAATTAGGAGGGATTTTATGAACTGTTTCTCACAGTTTAGTATTTAAGTCCTGATCGGACATAAATAGAACGTAGTAGACGTATTTGGCCTTTGGCCCTGTCAGTGTATTTATAAGTCTTTCATAGATCAAATAAAAACAACCTTACCTGGAGACCCGGTTAGTTACTCATAAACGATCCGGTTAGTTACTCATAAACGACTTTATCAATATCTTAACTGCTTATCAACATCTTGCGATCTTTAATCAAACATTCTCTATTATTTTATTCTCATTATTACCTTAAGTGTTGACCCAATTATGGCCCAACACTATTTAACGCGATTGACTTTAGTTGATGTGGTTGATGATAGCCTGGTTCTTACAATTAATAACCGTTCGATATACACTATATCCGATACAAAATCAAATTTATTATTAGTTTGTTAACATAACACTAAAAAATTGAGATTTTTTATTCCTTGAACCACGGTTTATGAAAGTAATTAGAATTATGGCTGTTAGAATTTATGTTTTAGCAGCTAAACAGGAAACAGGAAAAATCGTGATATGGTTAAAATAATAGTATCAATATTATGGATGATAATTTAATTTTTTCTTCTCATTATTTATAAATAAAAAAATTACATATTTACAATATTTAATAAAAATATAAAGTTATCTTATAAATATAGTGTCAATTTCTTTTAAAAATAAATGTCTCTCGTGTTAAAAATAAAATGAAGACAGTTATTTAAAAAAAAAATCTTCATACTAATAATTACTATTTGACAATTTGTTTATTATAAAAATAAAATGGTCACAATAAAACTGAAATTGTGTTTATAAAAAAATAATTAAAAATAATAAAAATAGTGTCGAATAGAGTAAAAACTTGTTGAACATATTTTTTTTTAATTCTAAACATGGTAAAATATTGATAGACGAAAACATCATTATCAGGACATTAATAAGAAATAGTTTTGTGTAGTAGTTGAGGTGTAAGTAACCTACAGAGGCAAGGAAGCGGTCATGTGTGTTGTTCAGGAATTAAATTTTGGAGACAGAAAGGGAGAGAGAATGATCAGATAAGATCAAAGGACCAGATTTTAAGTGATGATTCATCCCTTTCTTCCTTGGGCTTGGATGAACTAACCACCATGTCTTTCACGTGGACCTCTGCTCTCAACATCACTCTTCTGATACTCCTCGTTGCTGCCATTGTTGTTGCTTGTTTAACCCTCCCAGTTGACAAGGTTGTTTTTTTAATCCAATTTCACTTCTGGGTTCTTCTATTTCCCTGTACAAGACAAAATATCTAGTTCTTTTAGTTCTTTTTGTTTGAACATTGAATGGGGTGGATGCATTTTTGTTCAATTGATTAATTTCCTTGACAGTACCTTGTGTCTGCGGCTTCTTCCATGCAATGGGGTTTGATAGTAGTTGATTCTCTCATTACTACTCACTTGAGGTAGGAAAATTTTCAAGTGGTGTTTGCATACAAGAATTTCATCACGGGATAATAACGCTTAGTTTCAAATTGTGCAGTTTTTAAATTTGGAAAATCATTAGAAAATGGGGATTTTTTTTTAATTTGGTTTGGTTTCTTATTGTGAAAAGAGGAAAAGAATAAAGGATAGAGAGTTTGTTTTACCACTGGGAATTCCCACTCCCTTGTTCGTGCATACAAGTCAAAATGCTACTTTTACTGTATTATTTATTATAAGCACCGCATTTGAATTTTCTTTCCGAACAGCTCTGGTTGGGTAGAGATTTTGAATCTATTACTCTCTATTTTGGCTCTACAGATTCTGAAGGACTTATTGGTATGGATTGATAGTAATCTTGGGCCATGGGGTCCACTTGCTCTGTAAGTATATTTCAATTATTCACCACTGAAATTTCCACTTGGTGACTATCACCTTTTGTTTTTAAAATCTAGTAATCATTATACTCTTTACTATCATGTAATTGCTTTAGTTTGGGCTGCAATTTGTAAAGGCCACCTTTACAGGAGATTGTCATGTGCTTTCATTCATGATAGGCTTTATGCTATTCATAGTATCATGAAAAGGAATTTTATATGTGTAGCATATACGAATTGGCATATTAGCATATCAAGCTAACAACTGACTTGAATACGTGAACGGTGAACCTATGTTTTTGGGTAATTTTCAGGATAGCTGTTTACATACCATTGACTATCTTGGCAGTTCCAGCCTCTGTACTTACTGTAAGAATTTTTTATATTTGTACTTCTTGTAGAATATAGAATTCTCAACTACCTGTTTAAGAACTGTGGCCTGTCTGCATTTTCGTTGATAAATGTTCTTTAAAAAATTGTTTGGTATTTGCGATTCCTATCTTTAAGAACTTATAAATTTTCAAATTGAATTTGTCACAGGTCATCATTTAGCTATTTAAGTTCTGCAAAATAGGCAACATTGTTCACTATACTATTACTTTTACAATATATATTTTGTCTTCATATTTGATGCATGTTTCAAACACCTCCACTATTGTATAACAAACTGTGTGCATTATAAACAGTTCACTCAATGCTTTACATCTCCTTTTCAATTATCTGATAAAGAAGTAAGCTTATTTTTTTGAGTCACTTTACCTGATACTTTTTGTTCAGCTTGGGGGTGGTTATCTATTTGGCCTTCCAATTGGCTTCATTGCTGACTCTATTGGTTCAACTGTTGGCTCTGTAGCTGCATTCCTTGTTGGTAGAACAGTAAGTTTCCCAGTTTTGTATTTATCAGTTTTTTTTTCAAATTAAAGAGAAATAGAGTTATGGCATGATTGATTGACTTTTTAGTTTCCTAGTTCCTATGGCAAAACTTATGAATTTAAGTTTTTCTCTAGTACAATATGCTCTTTATCCCTTTGCCTTTCTTGATGTGCATTGTCCTTGAAATCTTCTTAGCCTTCTAATTGTTTGTTTCTGTATTATATAGTTATTTGTTTCCTGAGGCCATTCCTGTATTTTTCTATCTGTGCAGATTGGGAAATCACTTGTTGTTTCAAGGTTGAAGGATTACCCTCAGTTTAAATTAGTAACAATTGCAATTCAGAAATCAGGCTTTAAGGTTTGTAGACTCAATAATTGAATGATTTTATTAAATCTCCAACATTCAATAACTTTTTTTCAAGTTTTTGTGCTTTTGATATTTATTTTAGGTATAATACTTGTTTTGGTCCCAATTTTGGTTGGGAATGTTCGAAATGGTCCCAATTTTTGTTGTTGTTTAATGTTGTCCTAAAGAATGTAATTTGTGTTCAATTTGGTCCTTTTTGCAAACGCCGTTTAAATCGTTAACGGGCAGATGTCTTGATGTGCAATTACAGAGTGAAATGTCATGTATTGGCTTACATGGAGTCCTTTGTAGCGTTGTGAGTTGGATTTATTATTTTTGAAAATCATTTTGTGGCGTTGTGAGTTGGATTAACCAATCAGTGGTTGTCACGTCACGACCCTTGACACATCATCTCCACATAAACCCTAGTTCCCTAACCTAGCCAATGCCGCCGCCAGCCACGTTGTGCCGCTACCATGAAATTGTGCCGTCACTAGACGACCACCAAACCCAGCATCGGACCACCACCCATCATCCTCACCAGCGTCGCCGCCGGTAGCCACCACCGTCACCAATACAGAACGCGAACGCCAAAGTCGCGAGTCCTCCATCATCATCTTCAGCGTCTTCCTCGACTTCCATCTCCACCATGAAACCTTTATCAGGCTGTCATTCTCCACCACCATCAAACTCACCGTCAGCCGCGAGATCCTCCACCATATAGCGATTTCGTCTTCTCCATCCACAATCACCGAACCTGCAATCAGAAAAACAACAAACCCAACAACCACCGCGAATCCTCCATTGACGCACAAACCGAGAACGCAAAAACGTGAAACAGAATCGCGTGTTCTCCATCAGTCTCCTCCACTCGTGCGCACTGTCTCCATTCACCCCCTGCAAATCATTCCCAGAAATCAGATTGAAGCGGCCATTCTTGCAAGCACCATCGCGCCGCCATGAGCTGCCGCGAATAAAAGGGGCAAGATCCTATCTTCGTTTCTTCTCACTGCACATAAGCAAGCTTTCCCTTACACCTTCTTTGCATCAGAAACCCTACAATCACAAGCACAGATCTGCAACAGAAAAACTCTTTCTTCGTCTCTGATCGCGCAACACCAAAGAAGAAGAGCACAAAGGACTCCAAAGAAGTAGAATTTAAAAAATAATAAATTCAACTCACAACGCCACAAAGGACTCCACATAAGTAAATACATGACATTTCACTCTGTAGGACATATGTCCGTTAACGATTTAAACGACGTTTGCAAAAAGGACCAAATTGAACCCAAATTACATTCTTTAGGACTACATTAAACAGCAAAAAAAAATTGGGACCATTTCGAATATTTCCAACCAAAATTGGGACCAAAATAGGTATTATACCTTTATTTTATAATATTCCACTTGTTTTTATCTTGTTTTGTTCTTTTGGAATTCTTGTTTCTGATCTGGCTCAAGAAGAGCAACCGGTCGTAGTTATGTATAGTGTGACATGTCTGGAATTATGATGCATAGTTTTGATTGCCTGTTAAAACAAACAAGAAAGGCTATTATTATGTATACTGATAATTGCTTAGATTTTTTCTTAATCATATTTTCATGATATCGTGTTCATTTTTTTTCATAACTGATTATCTGAATGTTTCAACTTCTGTCATTACAGATTTCGATACTCCTTCGGCTTGCTCCTTTTGTACCATTTAGCTTATTAAATTACTTCCTGTCTGTGACGCCTGTTCCATTGGGGGAATACACACTGACTTCCTGGTTAGGAATGATGGTATCTTCTTTATCTCTGATCAATTATATGTAGGAGGATTTACCCTTAGCAATGAAATTCTATTCTCATGCATTACGAATAGGAAAATCATTCATGGACACCTTGATTTTGTCTACACCTATTTCACAGGTATCTTGTCGGGGTCTATGGCCTAACTTGGCCTGTTTAATATTGAGGCCATGCTAAGGCTTTTTGAAAACCTATTTAATTAAAAACAGGCTTAGGCTATTAGAAAAGCCTATCAGGCCTGCAAGACTAACTTGTCAATTTCTGTTGTGGAGTTTCACTCCTTGTGGATGTGTTTTTGAGTTTTTTGTTGGATGAGTATGAACTTATTAAAAATAGTTTGGATACCATGTTTGATGGACAATGGTTGTTTGATTTCTATTTCTAATTAACAGTAGTATTGAGTTTTTTAATTTTTGGAGAGGACCACAACTAACAAGTCTATCTTTAATTGAATGACTTATTGTTCATGTTTTTTATATTAACATTAGTCTTAAAAAATTGAAACGATTTAGGTGATGAAGAAGGTCCAATGATCTTTTACATAACAAGTCACGTAAATTGGCTTTCAGGCCCGACCAAACTTTACAACAAGTAGGTCAAGGCTTTCAAAATAGTCTACTATAGATAAATGGGCAAGACTCGGTCTAAGTAATTGTGATGTAGGTCAGGCTTAAGTCTGTCAATCTGTTACAGTCCTAGTTACAAAAGTAAAACTTGCTAAGAATTAATTGGCTTTTCTTGTGGCTGTCACTTCTTGCATTCTGTATTAGGAAAAAAGTTTGTCCAGATGGTTTTCAATATTAAATTATGAAAGAATAGGATTTATAAAAGAAGAAATGTATTTGAATGTTATAAGTCGTATGTCCACACATACCTCTTGTTTTATAGTCACATATTAGTGTACAATGAAATCATTCATAAATACATAAGAATAAATCAAACCCCTAAATTGTTGCACTGCATCCTTGATTTCTACTGGACAACTATTTCCACATGTAACCTGTAATCAATATGACTATTCCCTCTCAAGCTAAAACCTGCATATCATATTAGCCTAGTTTGTCACACATGTAGTCAATATGAGAGAGCCTCTAAGGGATTTAATAAACATGTTGGTCTGAGTTGACAAAGTCAATAGTGATTTCTTCTTAAAGCACCTTCTCTCACAATTTTTTAAGTGAAAATCTATTTCTGTTTGGTCTATTCATGGAAGATTGGACTTGATGCAATGTGAAGTGCAACTTGATTGTCACAAATAAAGTTTGTTAGTTGTTGGAGTAGCTGCGTAAGCCATGTAATCTTGCATGCAATTGTTATCGTAGCACGATAATCAACGTTTGCTTGAGATCTAGCATGCTCTACTTCTTACGCCCAAGTTGAATGACCTCCAATTTAAAAACAATACCCAGAACTATATCTCATATGTGATAGTGATCCTATCTCTCAGCATTACAATAACAAGCGATTTTTTTTGGCATTGCTTGTATGTTCATATAGTAGTTATTGTCCTTATTCATTTTTTATGTATTGAAGATTACACATGACATCTCATTGAGTCACCACAGTGAGATAATTGAGTATACTTAAATGTCTTTTGGTCTTCTAAGGGCTCTTCCTAACCTGGATTAAGCTTAATATCACTAGGATGACAATCTAGTATATTGGCTTTAGTTAGAATACCAAAACATCAGTCCTGAAAGGTATCTGCAAGGTCCAGAGTCTTTTGTCTGAAATTAACTGAAAAGGTTGGATTTGAGTCATTAAGTATCATTCTTGTCATTCATAAACAAGATAAATGCATTTTCCAAAAGGAGAATGAATGGAGAAGATGAGTTATGCTGCATTGTACTAAGGCAGAGCTAAAAACAACTACGCTAGACAGAAAACTTTAGCAATTGACGATTAAAAGGGTAATCGAAATTGTTGATGAGGTTGGAGGGTCAACTCAGGAAGTACCACTACAATCTATAGTATCTAATACAACAAAATAGGAGATGAAAAGGCAAGTCTAATAAAAGGGGATGTTAGTAAAAATGTCATTAAAGTTGAGGACAAAAAAAAATGATAGCTATTTCAGAAGAATGACTAACCCAAATAAGGTAATTCAAGAGATTTTGCAAAGGTTTTTCTTTACCTATAATGAAGTCATGCACAAAACTTGTGCATCCCAAGACATAGAGACAAACGGGGTAATGTTCCTATTGTGGTTACAAAGGAGCGTGGGAAATTTGATTGCGAAGAGAAGAGAAAGGAATAAACTTGCTTCAATTAACTTTATGTATGACCCTAAAAGTGAAAAGGAACAGTATGGTGAAGAAGGCATGATCAATTTCAATCATGTGTAGATTCTTGCTTTCGGCAATAGCAATTAGCTACGGTGTGTGAGCACTAATATTTGACGAATAATAATCTCTTGTGAAGTCAAAGAGACTAGAAATTGGGAAGACAATTGTGCACAAGAATTATTTATGCACAATTTTAACAGAAAAACCAAATGATTTTGAATTTAGTAGAGAAAAACTTGACATATAGAAAAAGAATTATTAGGAATAATCAAATCAATGGAAAAAGTTTGGAAGTGACAAAATAATTGTAGCTCGAAGTTGAATAGACATGACTAGGACCCTAAATATCAAAGTGAACCAATTAAAAAAAGGTGACAAAGCACCTTTATTTTTATATTCCCATATCTAAAATGTATTAAATGTGGTATCTGACATGATTAATGGAAAAACATGACAACTTTAAACTTTGTAGTTACCCATGCCGTATCTTTAGTTGTGCCACATTGAAAGCATGTTGTGCATAGAAATGGATAGTGGATATTGTTAAACTTTAAAATGATTTGTAAAAATATGAAAAGTTTGAGATCAGTTGATTTAAAAGAGAACTATGGCAATATTGGATCAACAAGTGCATTCAGCAAGTAATCATCCTTGTGATTTATTTGTTCACCACTTATGTTCTAGGAAGAAAGTGCATTAAATTAAACTATTAAGAATACATATTTAAGTTTGATGTTTGTAGAGTATTAGTAAGTATATCACTATTTGCATTAGTCTGAATTTGAAATGTTTTATTGTTATTGTTGTAGCCATTAACACTGGCTCTAGTATATGTTGGAACCACGCTCAAGGATCTATCAGACGTGACACGTGGTTGGGGCGAATTCTCAAAGACTCATTTGGTATGAAAAACTATGCTCTATATTAACATCTAAGAGACCCTGGTTAGGATAGGTTTTGATAATGTATCATCTTAGATAGTGGACTTTAAGCCTACTCAATCTCACCTTACGAAGTCTAACAAAAGTAGCTTGGTAAGATGGGGTTTGCATCTACTTACCTATATATTATAATGTCTTTAGTTGATATGGGATATCCAATACCTTTGATTGTCTTGATTGAATCAAGTAGATGAGATCTATCTCATATGTAACATACATTTATTTTTCTTTTGGATGCAGCCTTGGATCATTTCTGGCTTGGTGATATCTGGTAAGCTATGTAGCATCCGCACAAACATAGAATGTGAAACTAGCGTGCTCTATCCAGAAATTATTCTCTTTCTCATGCGTGTCTTGCTCCTCTTTTCCTTGCATGTGAGGTTTTGTTGCTCTGTATACTAGCAGCTTAGCTGCAATTGCTGGGTCACTGATGAGTGGCTTTTAAGAGTTGCATACTCTGTCCAGCGGCTTTATTTTTGTGTGCATATTTTTGCCTATTAAATTTTTAAGTACCAGGCAGAAGAAAATGAATTTGAAGTTTTAGCAAGCAAACCAGTGATAGCACACCATCATTTATCTCATTTTGTTAAATGTTTTGGTCAATTCCTTAGCTGGTTTATGCTTATATTGCTTTGGATTTTCAGCAATAAATGTAGTGTGGTCTGGGTGGGAAAAGTGGCAAGTTATGTTAGGAAACAAGATTTTCACATAGATTAGTTCTTTTATTAGCATGTTACTGTTATTTAGAATTAATGTGTAATGTAATGTTAGGTGTGATGTGTTTCATGTGGTGATAACCATAGAAGTATATAAGATTGGAGAATCCACACTTGATTATAGACCGTAATGAAAGTTGAGATTTTTGAGCTTGGAAAAGTTGTTTAAAACCTAGGGTCCATTATTTTCTTTGATTAATGCCTGGCTGAAATATTATTTTCGGGTATGGGCAGTGGTTCTCATGATATGGGTTACAAAAGTTGCCAAGTCTGCTTTAGATAAAGCCTTGGCTGAGTGTGCAGATACGGATGACAATGCATCTTCACCGGAGCTACCAATTGCCACTGAACCTTCAGTAGATCTCAATCAGCCTCTCATAAATAAGACAGACCAGAATGAAGAGAATCATGAAATTAAATTCCATTGTGTAAATTCTTTCCCCACCCCTCCTTTTAAAGAACATTCTTTTATTTTAAATTAAACAGTAGTTGCTTCTTATTTTGTGATTTGTACAGTTTTGGAATTAGAGATGTAGTTGGTGACATACATGGTTAGTCATACAACGAAAATGAGGTTATTGAATTTGTCTAACGGCAGAAAAGTTCATCTTATTCTATGGTTTTCAGTTTTGTAATCTGGATTGTGACTAGACGTGTTTTCCCTAATTTTTTTCTGCTCTATCAATCTTGTATGCACAAACATTACTAATTCATCCTAGCTCATTGTGTTCTTACTTTGAATTCAACGGTTCAGATGCTTGGTGAACCAATATTCTTGATTACTTTGACTTGAACCACTCCAATGACATTGCTATTATTGGGACACCTCTATCTAGGATGGCAAAGTAGTGTACTTATAAGAAATTCAATTATGGAGTTACAAGACTGATCGGAATAGATTGAATGTTGATACCTGGTGTTATGCCCCTGTATATGGTTAATCACTATGATAAAATAAGGACAGTATCCCTTTTTGTTGATTATATTATGATCTAATCATTAAGATTTGTTGCTTGTTCTGAAATAAAAGTGTATTGTGTCTTACGTCTCTCCACCCTTTGTACTTTACCTGTTTTATTCACCTAACATTTTGTACTAACTATATTTTAATGATTTTAATTACTATGCATCTAATCACAATAATTTCTAAAACAATGTCCTACTGTCATCTAATTCTAAATTATTGGTGCTATAACTTTTAGATCATTTTTGTAAAAATCAATAAAGGTAAGTTGTTATTGGATGATAATTTAAATTATTTTACTCGGTTAGTCAACTCTATCCTAGTTAGGAAAGTGTTGTTATTGTATATTTATGATGCAAAGTAAATAAATAAATGTGTAGACATAACTCGAGTTATTAGCTTTGCAGTGTTATTGATTTTGTACTGACAGAATAGGACTGACAGCAACCAACACTAACTACCAAATCAATGTTTTGTTACAACCAACAGCCTCAAGTCATGCTCGTTACAAGGTTCTTTTCTCACTCCAAAGAGAACTTGACCAGAAAGTAAAAAGTCAAGAGCTCAATGCACAGTAGGAGAAAATAAAATAATTGCTTATTTCGGGAAATGTCATTTATTCAACTTGGATTGAATCAAAAGCAACTCGCCCTCTCAATAAAGGTGAGGCATCATCATATGAGACCTCATCATGAATCTTTGAATGAGTGCTACTGTTGTCAAATGCCAACATCTTTTTCTTTCCCAACTAAACAAAAGGAAAAGCTGTTCTAGCAATTTTTAAACAATTTTGTCAGTGCCAATGAACTTTTCCACTGTCTTCTTGTTGAATCTTGACGTCTAAAGACCCTATCACTTCCTTGATGGAAGGGCTAAACAATATTCTGTCCCTGTGAGGAGTCTAAAGTGCAAGGTTACTGCAGATTCTTTCCATAGCCTTAGAATTGAGAAAGTTTGTAAAGTAATTGAACTTTATCAGAAAAAGCATAATTTGTCGGGTGGTTATATTATATACATAGTGAAGTTTCTATTGCACAAAAACATATATTGTGTGGAAGTTGGTGATCAAGAAGAAGCAGCAGTATCCCTGATGGGAAAAGTGCAAGGTTTTAGCCTTCTATCTTTGGGTGGCTGCTTTGATGGTTGTCGAGATCACACTCAAGGTTCTGGATATGGGACAAGGATATGGAACCTCAGTAATCGGCCAGTGGAGCTGCAAATAAGGGTGGGATCAATACTGAAGAAGATTCACACTTTGAAGCCAGGGTCTTCTAAAAGACTGAAATGTAAAAGCATATATAAGGCTTACATGCCTGGAAGAAGTGGCAGTGTTGGAGGAAGTTTCAAGAGTTTGTTGTATTACTATGATGAAACATGTCACCCTTATATTTGGATTCATGACACAGGGTGTCATTCCTTAAGGATGGCTAAGCAGCAGTATATTAGCCTCGAGGATCTCAGGGATTCTTCTGAAATCAAAGTCTTTTGGGATCATCAGAGAGGTTCTATATCTGTTCGGAAGAGAACAAGGCCAGATTTCTGCTGAATTTCAATTTCATTCTTCTCGGCATACTTTTCAAGTTTGTTTGTCATGAGTTAGATATTGTTTCTTTGTTTTCTTTATTTCACGTGGGGTTTCAATTCCCCCTCCAATATTGTGTGATTCAATATTTCATGGCCTCGTGTTTAATTAGTGTATTGAAAGCATAAGAATGAACTTCCCGACCACACTTGATCTAGTTTTTGTAATAATAGAGTTCTTTCTTCTGTTGTGCTGTTTGTGAATTGGAGAATGTTACACAGGTTCTTGTGCCACACAGTGGACTCTGAATCTCCCATATGCAGTAGATGTGAACTCCTTTGAATTGTGGGTTTATCTTCCTTAAACCCTCGTACATGACAATGACAAAGTAAGTAATGAATTTAAATATATGGTGTTTCGAAGTATAGGATCAAGTTAACCGTCCAAGGTTTAATGAGTTATCTGGAATCATGAAGATTGTCCTGAAGTTCAACATGTCTATACTTTTGTCCAAATTGCTCGGAAGTTAGCTCAACATTAGCGGTTAGAAAATTAATAGCATACTAAATGCATATCAAATATCATTATCTCAAACTTGTATTTATAAGTTTTACAGTTAACTTTTAATTAACACTGACCTAATCACGATTCAATTGGAGATAATCACACTTTATTTTTGAGTTGATCAACACTAAAGTTAATTAATCTAACTAATGACCGACCAGTCTCTCAATTGACATAGTTCGAACCAAGGTCGACCATCGAATCTGTGACTGATCAAACGATCATACAGTATATATTAATTTTTTTTATTATGACATACAAAAAAATCTTATTACTAACATAAATCTAACAAAAAATATTCTAATGAAGCACAATAATTAAAAAAATCAAACAAATAATTTTCAATGAGTTTAGTCATATTGGTTTTAAAATGTCGGAAGTTATAAAGTTGGTGGATGATGTTAAAATAACCAAGATGGAAGAAATAATACTAATCGTCTCTTTAAAAAATATTATAAAATTCAACTAGTTTTCTCCCTTAGTTCACATGATGGAAACAAAAATAATTGAAGATTAAATCTCTCTTTCAACAACGGTTAAAACCTTTCTTCTACCTACAAGAATACAACTGTCACTAAAACTTGGGATATTTAAAAGTAGTTTTAATTATTGTCATATATAAAACATCATCGTTGTTATATGATTATAATTGTCGTTATACGTAATATATTTGAATCAATAATTATAATTATGCAAGTATTTTAATACTCCCATTGTATGTATAAGACACCATACTACAAAAGTTACATTTAAATTATCACCAATATTGTCTATGGTAACAATTGTAAAGAAACTATTGCAGAGTTTTTTAATTTTCAAAAAATATGACAACTAGTATATAAAAAAATTATAATTTAGGGAAATTACACAAAGAAACCTTACACATAAGTTAATAGTGCTTTATAAAAAAATATGTTTCAGTTTTTATTAACTTGTGTATTTTAATCTGTATTTCATTTATTTATTTCAAAAACATAATAACAATAGAAATAAAGAAAGAAAGAAACGCAGAAGATTGAGATGATGGTGGTATGCTGAAGAAAGTGTTAATTAAATAGTGAGAACAAAAATGATTAAAAATATGGATAGTGGAGTTCATCCAAGTAAAGGGAAAGTGAAGTACTAAAAAATGGTGATTGGTTTAGTAGAGAATAATGTGATGAATGGTGACAGCAATGGCAACTCCTAAGAATCACCGGATCTGCTGCACCTGACTCACACCCATTATTTCCCTCTTCCTTTGTTCCCATAACAGCAGCACCAGTTCTTGCTTGTGAATTTTGAGATGGGAGTTTCATGGAGTAACAATAACAGAAGAAGAAGAAGAAGCACCTACTTTCATCCTCATCCTCATCCTCCACATCTCCCACCACCTTACTATTATCCTCCGCCGCTTCTGCCACCACCAGCACCGCCTCCACAAGGTTACTTTATCACCTCATCCAACCCTTCTGCTTCTACCTCTGCCGCCACAGGCTATGTGGGTCCTCCTCCTCAGTATTACCCAAATGTCTACACTGCCAATTCTGTGATGCTTCATCAGCAGCCCTTGTATGCAAATGAGGGGGGAAACGATATTCACCTTTCGCCGCCACCCTATGTCGATCATCAAACCACTAAGAAGATAAGGAACGATGTCAATTTGCATAAACACACGCTACACCTCTGCATAGATCCTAACAATCCAGATCACCACTTGATTTCCTTTGATTTCGATGCCCTCTTTGATGGCAGGTAATCTCAATTCTCTCTCTCTCTCTTCCTTTCCACAAATTTTAGATATTTCCTGTGTCATTGTATTTTATAGTTCAAAATAATATCTACTTACTAGAGACGTGTATAATTCTTGCTTGTAGTTAGACTTTAATCCAATGAACCAGTACAACAATGTTCACAATTATTTTTGTGCATGCTCTGGTTATTAGTTTTAAAGTATGGAACACAATGTTGCTTTGGCTGACTTATCTGAACAAGTTCACTTGCCAATGAAAGCACGTCCAAACCACAATCTGTGGGTTAGAGCTGCAACCGGTTTGATTGATTGATTGATTATTTTAAGTTGATTGCTCTGGAAAGAGAATGTTTGAACGTAGAATGAATATTAAATGTTTATAATGGAATATTTTTTGCTTGCCTAACTTTCTTTACTCCTTTTATTTTGTAATGGGCAGCATTACTATCTTCTACTTAGCCAAAGAAGAAGAAAATTGTAGGTTTAATCCACTGTTTCCTGATTTGTTTGAGCCAATCACATTCCCCTTTCAAAAAGGGACTGGCCAGAAATTTTGTCAGCCTTCAGGAACAGGCATTGACCTAGGCTTTTTTGAGTTGGATGATCTTTCTCGACCCTCACCCGGAGAAGATGTATTTCCCCTTGTCATATGTGCTGAAACTAATAGTATTTCTGGACTGGATGCATCCCCTCACATGCAAATAACTCAAGCTGTCTTAGAAAAAAGCAACGGTGTTGGTCCTTTCCAAGTAAAAGTAGTTAGGCAGATTCTGTGGATTGATGATGTTCGTTATGAGCTCAGAGAGTTATATGGAATAGGAAGTTCAGCAACAGCAGATTTTGATGATAATGG